TCTGTCTGACACTGAAAATCCGTTGTATTGTAAAATTCGTTATATCAAAATTCGTTGTAGAAAGAGTTGACTGTAATTAATTAATGATTTTTTAAAGATAAATAAATAATAAATTATTATGAAAAAATTAAATTTTAAACTCATATATTTTGTTAACTATCAATTTCAAAAATATAAAATTATTACTATTTAATATATCTTAATGTGATGAATCCAATAAACTAAATTTTATACTTTTGTAATTATTAGATAATAAATTATTTTTAAAAATTAAAAAATTGAAAAATTAATATATATTGAGAATTAATAATTTTAAAAGTTTAAAAATACTATCATTAGATATATCATAATATGATAAATCTAAAAATTTTATTTCATCTTTTTATAATTATTAGATATTAAAATATTTTAAGTTTTCTAAATGTTTTATACTTACAACTTAAGGAATAGCATTAATTACTTAAATTTCTTTAAATAAACTAATAAAATTTTTTACTTTGATATTATAATAAGCATATTTTTAACATATTATATGTGATATTTTATAATATATAATTAATTTTTTGCATTATAATATGGTCTATTTCATTTATACTTCTTGCTTATACTAGCTTTAAAGATAAATTATGATTTATAGATAATTATGATTCTATTATTTCTGCTAGAATTTCAAGCATTAAAACTCATCCTTTTACTTATAAATGTATTAACCATAATGATACATGAACTATGTGGTATAATAAACCTAGCTACACTATGTATGAAGAATAACATGTATCAAAAGCATTATCCTAAAAGTTTCTATAAAAAATACCTAAGAAGATAATAATGGCTATCCTATTTACTGCAAATGCAATAAAGTTTATTTCATTAAATTAACAACAGATAATAGATGGGTTGTACCACATAATATTAATTTGGTTACAAAATAAAAGCCCATATTAATATGAAAATTTGCAGTTCTATATTATCAATTAAATACCTGTATAAGTATATTTATAAGGGTCATGATCAAGCAATCATATCATTGTATCAATCTGACAATGATAAATCTCATCTAAATTTAGACCAATTGATAAGATTAAGCTATATTTAGACGCAAGATATGTTACAGCTTCTGAAAGTATTTGGCACATTTCCATTATAGAATGCATGGTCACTCACCAGAGATACAAAGGTTTGCTGTCCATCTCAAATTATCAGTTTATTACTTTCAAGATGGAGAAAATCTTCAGAATGTTATAGATCATGCTAACTTACGTAAAACTACACTAACGGGTTGGGTCTAGAAAAATATCGTTAATGAAGCAGCATATGCATATAGAGAATTTTTAAACCATTATACTTGGGATGTGACACACCATATGCGGAGACAATGATTAGTAGGATTTACATGGTGCAGCCTTCAGAAGGTAAAAGATATTACTTTTGCATCTTACTTATCCATGTCAGAGGTGCAACCAGCTTTGAAAACCTGAAAACCATTGATGAATATACGTATAGAAATTTCAAAAAAGCTTGCATTCAGCTGTCAAGATGATGATGAGTGGAATGCATGTTTACTTGAAGCAAGTAGCATACAATCAGGAAATCAATTGCGACATCTCTTTGCCTCTATTCTTCTTTTCTGTCATCCAGTGAATCCTGAAATATTATGGAATAATCACAAGGTAGCCTTATTTAAACATATTTGCTATCAGAATTATGTGCTAATATAATCCTAAAACGATAATATACCTGATATGATTAAATACGAGGCTCTCTATCGATTGGAAAGATTATCTTTTACTTAATAGAAAATCACTAAAGGATTTTCCGGATATGCCAATTCCTCCATCAAAGGATTTAAATATTGATTACTGCAATGAGGATTTGAATCAATTAATCTGTGAAGAATGATCGTATGATATGTCACAGCTTAGAAATGAGCTCCTGTAAAATGTTCCTTTATTAAACGATGATCAACGTAATATATGGGTTGCATTGCTAGGAAAATCAGGTTCCGGGAATTTTTTAACAAAATTGAGATTTTTATTGCATTTTAGTTTTTGATGTTGTTAGATTAAAATGTATTAAGCTCTTAATTTAAGTTAAAAACTTCTCGGAACCTGATTTTCCTAGAAACCCTCCCATATATGAAGCTGTTATACAAGCCGTGATGGATGTTTCTTTGTGGATGGTCCAGGTGGTACCGGAAAAACGTTTTTGTATAATACTTTTCTTTCGAATATTAGATCAATTGGCGAAATTTCTGTAGCTGTAGCATCTTCCGGTATTGCTGCTCTTTTGATTATGGGTGGTAGATCTGCGCACAGCCGATTCAAAATTCCGCTTAAACTTAATAAATCTTCAGCATGTAACATTTTGCGAAACAGTAAAGAGGCCCGTTTAATTAATTTAGCAAAGCTTTTCATCTGGGATGAGGCTCTAATTATACATAAATTTACATTTGAAGCACTTGACTTGACATTTCGTGACACCACTCGAGTGGATAAACCATTCGGTAATTTTCGTCAGGTGCTTCCTGTTATACCACGTGCTTCACACGCCGAAGTTGTCTCAGCAAGCTTAAGTCGTTCTTCTTTGTGGAGACACATGAAGGTGATGAAATTGTCAATTAATATGAGACTTCGGGAGACTAATGACACCCATGAGACCAAAAGCAAAAAAGTTTTGCAGATTTTCTTTTACAGATTGGTGATGGCAAATATCCTGCTATTCTAAATACAGAAAATGTGATAGAACTTCCCTCGCCTATAATAATTTCTGGAGGTGAATTATCAGATCTTATAGACTTTGTCTATCCAAACTTAATCGATAATTCTAGTGATGTTAATTATATCGTTGGAAGGGCCATTTTAACTCCAAAAAATGACGATGTTGAACATATTTCAACCCTAATTATGAACTAATTTCCAGGCAAATTTCATACGTACACCAGTGCGGATTCTGTGGATTTAACTGATGATAGCAACTTGGACCAGCCTCAACTATATTTCACAGAATTTTTAAGATCATTAAAAATTCCTGGATTTCCTCCTGATGAATTAAAATTAAAAGTGAGAGTTCCAGTCATATCCTGCGAAATTTGAATCCCTCAGAAGGACTTTGCAATTGAACCTGATTAATCTGTCGTGGCCTTTACAACAAAGTAATTGATGCTGAAATTATAACAAGTCCACATGTTAGTGATCGTGTTTTCATACAACGGATTTTATTGACTACTTCAGACGCCAGTTTACCATTCATTCTCAAGCGACGCCAATTTCAGATACTCGTTGCATTTTCAATGACAGTTAACAAATCACAAAGTCAAACATTGAACAATGTGGGTGTCTATATACCACAACCAAATGTTTTCGCATGGTCAGCTGTACGTCGTCTTATCGAAGAATCAATTCGAGATAATGACCAGAAATCCCAAGCAAAAAACGTCGTGTATAGTGAAAATTTTCGATAGATTACCTAACATTTATTTGTCATTATTTTGTTAATAAATAAGAATTGTATTTTATCTCATCATGCACCTTAAATATTTTGAAGTTCGAAACTTACTTCCGTGATATGTGATGAGAAACAATACTCTGTTATGTAGTTTTACATATAGCGAGAATCGTTAAAATTTTATATATATCGTGAAATTTAAAAAAATTTTCAAGACAACCATTATCGGAGATCGTCAAAAACTATTCAGCCAATTAATGTGACTTACACTTTTTGTACAGACATAGGGTCATGATCGACACATAATACACATAACAAATAATATAACTTAACACTCCACTTAAGTTTTAATTGGACTTTTATCACTTTATGCCGTTGCAAATCAACGGGTCTACATCTAGTTAGTTTCGTACTCTCAACCTTTAACTGTTAAAGCATGTCAAATATTTTGCTTATTTCATCATACTATAAAAATATAATAATATTGATAAATCTCAGATCACGCTTTCAGATAGGATTTCGTCGTGTTATATATTTTAAACAGATTATCTGAAATGATCACATGTTAAAATCAAATAGATATGAGCGAAAACTTTGTAATGTATATTTTTAGCTTTTGCAAATAAAAATAATACAGCAATTGAAAGAAAAAAAAATTGAGCAATGAATCCTCCTCAAAGGTTCTAATTTTCCAGCAAATTTTAAAAAAACAGATTGCAAAGTTGATTTGTGAACGTATTACTACGGAAAAAAAATGAATACTACCACCCCCGCCATGATTAGAAAAGAAATAATCAGATTGGTTATTTATCGTGTAAGAAATTATTTCTTTTCTTGACTTTCATTATTCTTCTGTTCTTTATCATAAAATTTTTCGATTATTACTTTCGTCCAGTCAATAATTATGGTCCCAACAAAAAAGATATAACATCTTATTTTCAGCATTTGAGATACGGCTTTCGATTTTATCCTTCATAAATTACAAAATCTGTTAGATTAAATTTGCAAACTTATTATAAAAGGAAATAAAAAATGAATACTTACATTTACACTTGAGCTATGGCTTTCGACTTTATCCTTCATAAATTATAAAATCTGTTAGGTTAAATTTGCAAACTTATTCAAATTTATAAAGGGAAATAAAAAATGAAATACTTACATTTAAACTTGCGATTTTATCCTTCATAAATTACAAAATCTGTTAGGTTAAATTTGCAAACTTATTCAGATTTATAAAGGGAAATAAAATGAAAATACTTACATTAATAGATTTCTCCATTCTTGCGCTAGCTTCTTTTGCTCTCCCTTCGTATTCTGCTAGGAATTCTTTCAACGTGTAAGTAACCTTTTGGTTTAACACGTTATAAGTTCTGCGAGTTGAATCAGGAAACACCGAGGTTCTACCAGGAAGTGTTGAAGATTTGCGAGTACTAGGAAACTTTGAGGTTCTAGTTGAGGTTCTGGTTCTGCGAATAGGAAATGTTGAGGTTTTACGAACATTTGAAAATCGATGTCGAAACATAATGAAAGTTTTGTTTAATCAGATCAATGAAAAATTTGGAAAGCTTGAGAGAATTCTAAGGTTTATAGCTTTATATACCTTCTGAATACATCATGACATAGACTCTTGCATAAACTTTTGGTGGCTTGTAATGACGTAATACAACAAATAATATGGATACTTTGGCAAAAATTAATAAGCATAGTAAAAAAAAGCAGTACATGAAAAAAATGATTAATGCATTACTCATTAGATTTTGTACTCAGCGGTATTTATTAAAAAGATGAATTAATGTTACGTAATTTTTAGGTCGTACGATTAAATTAATAAAGCGCAGTAAACTATTGATATTTATATAAAAAAAAATATTGGTCTCAGCTAAATAATTTTAATTGATATTACATGAGGTTTTTGAAAAAAATTATATTATTATATCAATGATAGTAAAATTTCCACTAACTCTAAAACAAGACGGGCCTTTTTGAGTTGAGGCCCAACTTTTAAACATAAAATCAGCGGGTAATTGAGTGTGCTTAGGGACTTCAACTTTTACGTCTACCGAAGCCTTCCCATCAGCACCGAATTTTTTACTACCTTTCCATAATGTTTTAACAAATTTTCCAGTTTTATTACTATATAAGTCAAGGCCATTTACTTCATCAATCTTCGAGTTTCCTTTTTTCCAAACTACTGTAAAATAGTTATCAAGAAGCAATTTATCACCAGCTTTAGGAGATTTGAAATGAAATCCTGTGAACGGAAAAGATGGAAAATATTTTATTAAAAAGATTTTTTTTTAAAAAAAAAAACAGCTAAGAAATCTTACCATCACAATAATCATTAGTTTTATTTAGATTCCCTGTATATATAAGAAAATTGGATCGAAAAGATCAATTTTAAAAAGAAAATAAAATGATTAAGAAAGATCAATTTAAAATTGAAAGAAAAGAAATGGTTACTTGTTTCAATAGCTATAGCTGTTACTTCATTGAACAATGTGAATAAGAAGAACAATAAAAGAATTGAAACAAATGAATTGACTTTGATGACGGTATTCATTTTGTAATTTTTTTTTTTTTTTAGCGGTGGAAAGTCCTTATTAAAGTTGTTTTATTTTATTTTATTTTTTTTGTTAGAAGGTTAACGGTGGAAAGTTCTTATATTTATAAAGTTTTCGTTTCTAATGGATAGATAGAGATCATCATTCTTCGTTCAGCAACAAACATAAAGGAAACAACATCTAAACCATTTTCGAGTGTAAAATCATCTTAGTACGTGCCATTTTGCAAATTTTGCAATACATATGAATAAGATTTTTTTTGGAAAGATTTTATTTACGCACGTACAATCAAAATTTATAAAAATAAAAAAAATTATTTTTCTTTTGCATTGCTATGATTCTAAATATTTTGTAATACGACCAGAATGTAAATTCTTTAAGGAACGACCCTCACAATCTTCAATTAATCAATCGATGATGACCTCGCCACCAGCCCAAGCCAAGAAGATTAATGCTGAACTAAAATATAAATATCCTAAATAATATTTCAATTCCTTCCTGTTACGTCCAGAATCCAACCAGTTAATGCCACGCCAAAAATACCAGGGATCTCACCTAAAGTTTTGCCAAGACAGTAGATGATGCATATTTAAGGGGCAATATCAAACTGAAAAAGGAAAAAAGTATTTTTAGAATGTAGAATCACCTGATTTACGGATCTCCCGCCTGACGTGAACGCGTTTAGTCCCATGCCGATCGTAAGTTTATCCCTAGATGACGCGCAATACGCAGCCTAAGAATATTTTTGATTGTGGGTTAAAAAGGAAATCCATTTTAACTCATTTTAAAGATATAAAAGGAAATTAGCGACTCCAAAACTTCCAATTGATTGAGCGATCCTCCTAATGGTTATGACTCGAAATTTAACTTTATGAATCATATGATCACCAATCGTGCCTGCAAATGACAGCAAAATATCCCAATTTCTTGATGTCAATGCCAAAGTGATCTATATAATACGTTGGCAACCATGTCAACATGATAAAATATCCCCACGAATTACAAAAATACGTTAATCAATAATGTCCAGACTTCTTTTTTTGAAAGTATCGACATCCATGGTATATCATTTGTTAATTTAGAATCATTCTTATTATTAGCCAAATAAAGGAGTTGATTCATCCCTGCGTTACTGTGTAGATCCCTAACGCCTCCCTGTTGTGATACACCATCTTCGGAATTCGCTAAATGATTTCTTCGTCCTCAAACTTGCCGATTAACTTTACTTCTTCTTGACTGATCCCTTAATATAGATCCGGTAACTTGATCTATAAATTTGCCATAATAAGCTCAAGAACACACCGATCGTTCCAAACAAGTAAAGATGCACTCCCATCCATAAATTCCGCTGCCCAGCCGTCCATGTGGCAGTCCAACGACGGCTCCAATAGCACTTGATCCTGTTACAACGGCGTTGGCTCTTGATCTTTCTTGTGCCGGGATTAGTGAAACAGCAGGGGATGGACGTCGTGAGTAACTAATATTTTTTATGATATTGACCTATTGCTAGAACCGGCTTTCCTCCAAATTTATCGGCTAGCGCTCCTCCTAATATTTGGGTTGTTAAGTATCCTACGAAAAATGCTGATAACATCCTTGTGTCGTTGAAGACCATCCACAATCCATTGTCATAAAGACTATCGCAACTGCGATGTTCGATCGATCTACCAACCATAAAAATCAAATTTAAAAATAATAATGTATGTTCGTTCCATGATCAAGAAAAAAGTTCATTTTATAATATCTGCATAACAAATTGCAAAAACCACTGCGCATAACCCTACTACTATAAATCGTTTGGAATAAGGTTACGTTGGCTGATCTCGACTCATTTTTATTTCGGAAGTCATTTTTTTTTTTTTTACTTGTGCCTTATTTTTTTTCTTTTTTTGTGTTTTTTTTTTATTTTATATTTATTTTTTTAAAAAAAGGATTTCGTTCATATTATGTTAAAGTAAATAACTT